GAAGAAGAGGAGGATTATGAGATTGATCAACACGAGACTGGAGCATTGAGGGTGGATGAGCAGACTCTTGTGGGCACTGGATCGCAGGTGACGATTCCGAGGGCTACAACGGCGACGGATGGCTTCTTCAGCTCGGTGGCTTCGGAGTTGACGTCTGGGATGGTGGAAGCCATGTTTGGAGGGTCGGGACCGACGTCACCGCCCGCGAGGATGAGCGATTTGAAACCTGCGCCTGAAGATGCTGTTCCACTTGAGATATTGCAGAGCAGGGTACCGTCAAGACCGTCTACGTCCCATGGCTCGCCTACAGCATCCCCCTTTATATTAACCTCTCCATCCAAATTCATATCTCCTGGTCGAAAACAGCACCGAAGCTGGATCCTGAACGTGAGCGCTGACACGATCGTACAGCATTTCTCGATGATCGACCGAGAGCTTTTCTTGGGGGTCAAGCCTGAAGAATTGATCATGGACGATTGGATGTCGTGTCAAGAGGTGAATGTGTTGGATTGGGCACAGTATCTCAAGGACCGGGCGCGTTGGAAGGCCGAGTCACGGTGGAGCCAGAAGACGACTGCACTGGCTGCTGTTCGAGGGCGCTTTAATTTGCTTGCGAATTTTGTGGTTGCCGAGATCGTGATGACGCATCCGAGCGACAGGGCGATGTTGGTGGGCAAGTTCATTCGTGTCGCTTTGGTGAGTTTGCATTTCGATGATGTTTTAGTTTAAATCTGACTTTGCGCGACGTGTTTCAGAAAGCATACGTCCAGAGTAATTTCAATACGTTGGCAGCCATCATCGCCGGTTTGCAAAACGAGTGGGTCGCGAAGGCTATGCATCGACATTGGGGACGCGTGAGGCTGTGGGAGAACGGGGTGCTTCAAAAGCTGAAGCAATTTGTGTCGCCGGACAATGATTTCAAGGCTATGCGCGATGCTATCGCTACTATGGCAGACCCGAAGACTCTGAGCGTGACGACGCGGACGTCTACGGTTTTGAGTAGCAGCAGCACAGACCTACCCTCGGGAAAATCAAAAGGTTCTCACGATGCCAAGACGCCATCAGCCTGCGTCCCATTCATTGGGGTCTATCTTTCTCAACTATACCGCTACAGCAGACTCCCAGATCTGATCGACCCAACCTCACCTCACGACCCCGTTGGCATCGATTCCCAAACCGTCAATTTCGAGTCTCCAGCCCATCCAGAGGTGTTTGATTCGCTGACGCCTCTCCCGCCTTCGATGCAGCTGGAGCCATTGATCAACGTGCATAAGCAACGGCTTATTGCTGGCGTGATCAAGGATCTGGTGGGCGGACAGCATCTTGCGAGCCGGATTCAGTATCAGGTTGATAAGAAGTTATTTGGGAAGTGTCTTAGGATAAGAGGGCTTGATAGGGAGACGATGCAGATGGCGTATGGTATGTATGTGGAGTCGGAGACGGGGGTGGTGCGTCCGACGGGGTTTATCCCTTTGTAGAGTGTCATGCTGGATGTTATTCCGCTATGCCAGTGGGAGGTGCTCACTTTGTGCTGCTTTTGTTCTTCGACATTCTCTTATTTGATTTCATGCGCAATATGGATATAGAGCCTTTTTTCGATCTTTGTTGTATTGACAAGAGTAATGTATGCAATACGTAGTTGAGATTAAGGTCTCGCGAGGACTGATGACGCCGAGCCTGTGTCCCGTACTACATAAGTACAGTAATAGTCGTTGTATATCACCACTGCTGATCATTCATTCTGTTTCCAGTATGTATCATTGCGCTTCTAAGCGCAGCCCAATGCATATATTTCTTCCTGACATACATGTCCTACACATTAAAGTGCGAGACGGGCACTCAGGAAGACTGCGCCTAAATATTTTGACCATGAAGTACTGCATACCGCTCTGCCCATTCGAGTAGCCATAAAGTAGGGTTGGTAGGGGGAAAATAGTAGTAAAATACAAGGACAAGAACGTCAGCACATAACGAGAAGTAATGCAAGTAATGAAACGCTGCTTCATCAATTATGGCCATTCGTGTTGTCAACAGAGACACAGCAGATGCAGAGCACTATGCGAGTCCATAGACTGACGAGACTGTTGACAGCAGGACGCGACGGTGTTGCAGTTGCAGACGCAGGAGTTGCACCAGCAGCTGCAGATGTCATGGATGTTGCGGTAGCAGAGGTCGCTGGGGGACGAGACGATGATGCCTGGCCATGGGATTGACCTTGTTGTTGCTGTTGACCTTGAGTGTGGGTACCTTGCAAAAGTTTTTTTTTCTGGCGCGGTGGGGAGACATACAAGGCCTTTGAGGCGAATTATCATCGAATCAGGCAGAACTCGGAGGTAGACATACCTTTCTATCCTGAACGGTGGGCACATCAACGACACGAGGTGTAGTGTGGTCAAAACGTGGGAAGAGCGAGGAAAGCCGACCAAGGATGGTACCTGATGATGAGGGTGTTGTGCGGCTGCCACGGCCATGACGGGGAGGGGGATGACGCGTTGCAGAAGACTGAAAACTTGATTGTCATTAATACGTTGGACCATGATTCTGAAAACTCACGCCAACGTGTATATCATTGAAAAAACCTGGCGGCAATCGATGCGAATCCGAGAATTTCTGATTTCGACGTGGTGTGGCATCCGTCTGGCACAAAAATGAATAAAAGGGAGGCATGTTTAAAGAAACGACTTATTACCTCTAAAATTGACATGCCGCCAACCTGAAATAATACGGATCAGTACACATCATTGCCAAACATTCAAAGTTGAGATACCTTTGGGGCGGAGGCCTAAGGAACATGCCATGCCATCAGTGTGATCGATAAGAAACAGGAATCAAACTCACAGTCAAAAGTTTACCAAAGCCAGCTTCCTTGACGATAGCAGCGGCATCCCATGTGTATATGTGATGGTCATCGCAGACAGTAGCTAGCAGTTTGCCATCAGGAGAAAAGACCGCAGATCTCACTGCGCCTTCATGGAGGAGGGGTGGTCCAATAGGCTGACCGTTTTCAATGTTCCAAAGTCGCGTTGTCTTGTCAGATGATGCGCTCGCAAGGATACGGTTATTGGGAGATAATGAAAGGGCTTTAACAAGATGTTCATGTCCTTCGAGCACAGCGGTTTGTGTCCCAGTGGCGGTGTCAAATTTTCTAAGGGAGTGGCCTTCAAAATTAAGTGACCCGGAGATAAGTGTGTTGACATCCGAAGACCAAGCCAAACATAAAACCTCGTTAAGCGCTGGCATGTTTGCCTTGAGTTTTTTGAGTAGTTCGCCTGTCTTGACATCCCAGAGTTTCACCGAGGCCTCGTTGACGTTGTTGTGCCCGCCCGTTGCAATCATTGTTGCATCGGGTGAATAGTGAACCGTGCGCACGGGTATATGCCCAGTTTCGATTGGTTCAAGGATGGTCTCGCCGTTGTCGACATTCCACAATCTTGCTATTCCATCGTTTGATCCGCTCACCAGTCGACCTCCGTGTGGACTCCAAGAGATAGACGACACCCCCGAACTGTGGCCTGTCCATCTTGCAGTGACTTTACCTGTCTCGATGTCCCACAATCTCACTATGCCATCTTCACTCCCGCTTGCTACTTCCTTGCCGCCCGGCGACAACGCTATGGCCCACATTGTTCCACTGCCCTTATCCTCCCAATTTCTGCCTTGCTGCTTGCCACTCTCCAAGTCCCATACTCGCAACGAAGCGTCGTCAGAACAGGTGATAGTGCGCCGTCCATCTGGGAGGTACAAAATGCCCCAGACTGGTTCCTTTTGTCCTGCAATCTTCCTTTGTGGTTTGACCGCTGACATTCAGGAGCGTGGTGAGCTATGGATAATGCGCGCCGAATTTATCTAGACAGTCCAGCTCTGCTCTGATATTTTTCTATAGCGTTCTTCAAGAGCACGAAACTTTATTTTGCCAGACAGCAATCGCTGGTGCAGGTCTATCCCTCTTTCGCCTCAGTGGTTTTGGCTGAAGCATGTAATACATTGATCACTCACCAGCAAATTTCAATAGAACTTGATGTGCACACACTTAGAATGAAAGACCGAATCGAAGCATGTGTTTTGTTGGACGCAGAGGCGAGTTAGGGTGCGTGCTTGTATAGGTTGTTTACTAGTTACATACCAGGTGCGCCACACGCACCGTGACATAGCAGCGCCCAAGTCTAAGCTGCTGGCCATGCGGATTACGCATGCCAAAGTCTCGTCATCGACACTTGGGGCGCTCCATGCATTATTGCTATGAACTTCACCTGGCTCCATGAAAATAGGCATTCATATCAATATGATCGTGCATTGATGACACAAGTTGGCATATGTCCACGGCGCTAGTACATGACATTATGACTAAGAATTCCACATTATTTCGTTTAACAGGTATATTCATAATTTTGGCCAAAGTTGCCCAACGGTGCGATTGGTTCTCTGAGAATGTTCTTGATGCTTCCGGTCAAGTCGAAAAATGGCTCGGGGGCATGCTTTTGGTGTACGCTGTCACTCTCGTTGCTCATCGAAGGCCAGTGATTTCAAAAAACGCGTCAAAGCTCGAAACGAGGAACAGAACAATAGCATGCTGTTGAAGTTGGAATTCCAAGTTGTAGTTCTCTGCCGGATGAAGAATATGCGCCCGTCAGATGTCGACGTGCTCCACAGACTCGGAGGGTCCAGAGAAGGAGGAAAATAAAATAGTCATTGGTTGATGTTCTAGTTGTGCATGTCCCTATGATGTATAAAATAACAAGTGAATGGTCGTGAACCCATGCAACTTGATCTGAGAGTCGAATGTAGAACATATAGGTTGAATGCATGCCAGCGGCGTCAAGGCGACGTCACATGCGACGTGACGCCCCGTCACAGCCGCGTCACGACCGTAGCAGGCGCAAAATAACTACGCCCGCTGAGACCTAACCCTATTAGTATTAGGGTCAGGTTCTGTCCTCGTTTCATGAAGCTGAAAATTTTGATAACACGCAGTGCATGTTCATTACATAAACATCCAACATATGTCTACACACGGTGACCATAGAACAGGAGAAGAATTCATCTGCGTCTCGCGAACTTTGAATTCTCTACGTTACGGAAACAGGTACAGCCCAAGAGACTGCTGATGCAGCTGATCGCATTGCGAGGGAATTTCGAAGAGTTCATTTTCACTGTCGTGTGAAGAGCACGGATGCGTATCCACCAGTAGGCGGCTTCCCAGTCGTTATAGCATAATATTCAGGTCCGGTGCAGGAAAACATTGATCTCGGAACGCTTGGTCATCTTCGTAGTTTCGACCACTGGCTGGGGAGCTGAACCCAGAGCTATGAGTTGGTTATTGAACATGTTACTCAGGTCTGATCTCCCAAACGATCTATTCGAGGACACGGATTTCTGCGTTTTCGGCCTTGGGGGCACCGCCTATGAGAAATTATGTTGGCCAGCGAAGAAGCCGTCGAGAAGGATGCAGAGCTTAGGAGGTCATGCAATTTGTTCACGAGGAGAAGGAGACGAACAGCATTGCATGGGGTGGGTATACTTTGTTTACTGCGTTTCACGTGGCTGATCGATGTGCAGGGTGGATGGTGCATTGGACCCATGGATCGAATGTCTCCTAGAAGTTCCCACACAGTTCTATCCACTGCCGCACGAGCAAGATAATATTCCTGCTGGTCGACCATATCCTTGAGCAATGTGGCATCTGATACGTCGCTGAATCCAGATCCTCTAGATGAGGACACGAAGTTTCATACAGCTTCGGTAAAATGTAACAGACGGATCACTGCGGAAGATTGGTTTCAGGACGTACGCCATTTTAAGTTCTCCTTCGAAGACAATATAAAGTACGAGTCTTTGTCTTTTGAATTCGCGGCTACTGATTGGAAATTTCAGATATAATCCTGGAGATGTTGCTGTGATCCATCCGTCCGCAGCTCCATCAGAAGTCGGCTCTTTCCTTGTCGCCATGGGCTGGGCAAATGACGATTTTTTCAGTGGAACATACAATGTTAGGTACGACGAAACAGAACCCAGTAAACCCCATCTAATATCTTACAGATCAAACGTTGCCAGACCGTCTACCGAAATTGTTTCCCTTCGAATTCTATTCACGCGCTATCTTGATTTTAATGCTGTGCCCCACCACTCTTTTTTCCAACTGTTGCGATATTTTGCTACCGATGAGCTTGAACGCGAAGAACTTGATGAATTTGTATCGATAGAAGGAGCGGTACGTCGGGCCTCGTCATTTTTCTTTCTTTTATGACGTGCAGGACGAAATGTATGATTATTGTCAACGCGTGAAATGCACAACCTGGGAAGTATTGTCCGAGTTCCGGTCCACAAGGATACCGAGAGAGTATGTCTTTGACTTGTTTCCTCCGCTGAGACCAAGAGAGTTCTCAATTGCTAGTTCCATCGAGGTGAGCTCGAGTTAAAATGCGTTCACTGCAGTTCAATTCACCTCTGTTTCGTCAGCTCCATCCCTGTGAAATACATCTCTGTGTTGCTATAGTGCGCTATTGCACGAAGTTGAAAATTCATCGGAAAGGCGTCTGTACTCGTTATCCATCAGGGCTTAAATTAGGTCCGCACGGCGTCCTAGCGTAGTTCCTGAACTCATATCATCTCCAGGAGATACCCTTCGTATCGGTCTCAGAAAGGGCTTCATCTCACCTCCTACGGATCCAAACACACCAGTGGTGTGTGTAGGTCCAGGGGCAGGCATCGCACCTATGCGTGCCGTCATTGAACAACGCATACACGAGGGACACAATAGTATGTTTGGCTGTCTTTGTATATCAGCTGATCCTCGATGACCCCAGATACTACCTGATACTTCGGCTGCTGTTCTGCATACAATGATCACCATTATCACACGGAATGGGAATCTCATACAGAAGAACGAAAACTCCGCTACCGCGTTGCGTGTTCTCGTGATGGACCAGAGGGTATCAAATGGACGTATATGCAAGATCCGATGAAAGAGGATGCACAATATATCTGGACAATGCTGGGGCAGCAACGAGGCATCCTTATCATCTCAGGGTGGGTCAAGATTATATGTAACGTATGATGAACCCTAAACTTTTATGATAGTTCTTCGAACAAAATGCCTACTGCTGTGGAGAGGCTCGGAGGAAGGTTGAATGCCGAGGCTGTGGAGTATGTTGCTGCGATGGAGAGGGATGGAAGGTTGATTGAGGAATGTTGGGAACATTCGAAATCAGTGAGCATCAAATCGTGAAGAAGGCATACTCTTTGATAAGCAGATTTCGCAATTTCCGTTGGTCGCATCAAACCTTCAGGCCTGCAGGCTCAAAAACGGTCCCAACTTCGCTCGGCTTTGTAGTCCTACACGGCAAACGTTCTGGCAACGTGCTCGCATCACTGCTGCTTATCGTGCCGTACACATCTTCCTGGAGTAGATACTCAACGAACACATTTTATCGCCACCTCTTCGGACTGCCTGCAAACCTCCCCCAAAGGACTGTCAATTTTTATACGAAGTGGGTTTGGGTTCGGCTTCATGCTAAAGGCTGACCGAATCTGGGAGAGATGAAGCTTTCTATTCCCCCACTTAGAAGTCAGTACCCCCCCCCCCCTCCCCCCAATTAACCTGTAAACCAACCTGCCGGTGAGTCATGAGTATCAGGGTTACAGTAGTGAACAAACCATCTACTCCCTAGGTTGTATGAAGGCTCAATGGTATCCTCCTAAGAACTGTGCGGTAGGTGTAGGGGTAGCCCCCTGACAAGAACCTTCGCACGTTCAAAACTGCTGCCACCTGCCCTTCTAGCGTCCCTCTAGCTCTAGTTAACAGACTCTTATCCTGGGAGACCGGTGCCTGCGGCAGGTACCAAGGATGTGGTCTACTTCGCGACGCTCAACTGGATGTTCTGGCTTCGGCTTCGCTTTGTAGCCAGTCACTAACTCCCAGCTTCGCGCTTGGAAATTGATTGTCCAAGCTCCGCTCAGCTTTGCAGTTCTAGTGTCGGCAGCTACAATCTCACTGTAACCGTCCTAGCAACGTGCTCGCCTCTGCCACCGCTTATTGTGCCTAGTCTAATACTTCCTCCCAGTGTTGTTATCAAGCCGGGTTGTGGCTGAATATATTATAACTGGTGTGTCCTGTTTCGAATTAACCGCAAAATAACTGGGGTTGACGGGTGAAACAACAATCAATTATTTAAAGTGCTAGCTAGTCCGAGTCGTCAATAACGATCGAGCTCGATGACCATATCTCATGCCTGATGACACCCCCCAGACATTTCCGCTAGTACTCTCTCTGTCCTGGGGCAGGTGTGATGACATTGGCTTATAGAGTAAAGCCTCACCATGTTTTTCACGCCTTGGAATCAAATCTCGTCCCATCCAATCTCAACAGACGATCGAACATGCCGTGGATGCAAAACATTCTCTTCTAACCAAAGAGGGCTGTTGCTCTCGTGTCTCGTCAGCCTGCAGTATTCCGTGTGCGATGGCCTGCTAACGGATCCATTTAACTAACCTAACCGGTTATGAACAGGTCAAGTTCTAATTCTTAACGGGTTAGTAACAACACTGCTTTCTCCTGCTCATTCCGACTAGAACAAACACTTCATTCTATAGTAGATACTTTGATGAATACATTTTTTTCACCACCGGACTGTAAACCTCGCCCAAAGGATCGTCCATTGTTCACACGAATCTGTCGTCGACTTACCGGCAACTTCCATAGCTCCTGGCGAGAACGCGTTCAGTCCTATCTTATGATAGTAACCCCAACCTCACCACGCGTCTGAAACTGCCGGCACGAACGGCAAACTGATGTCATAGTACACCTCACACTAGAGCATTCGGCCCCGGAGGTACGGAAGAGACAGGGGTCCCCAAGGCTATCCTACGTAAAGTAAATGGACAAAAAACTTCTATAGCACGCGGCCCAAAGTGTGCATGTGATGTGCAAAGCCGCTTTTCGCTCTCTTTTGCTATATTCTTCCAGCATTCGTCCGTTCTTTGATCTAGTTACATTACCCTGTGTGAGCATGCATTAATTACTAGAGTTCCCGTAATCTACATAAATACTAATGTCCGCGATATCAAAACACAAGCTTTGCCTTTTGGCGTAATAGTTAAGCGGTCCGACGACAGTCTTGACTAAGTCACAACCTGTCATTTTCTCCACCATGACGCTACAATGAATATAACAAGCAAGGTTTCACCCAGCCGATGCACAGGTAACACGATTAGGCGGTGCGTTATTACGATGATTGAGTGGAGCTTCGTGTCTAAAGATCAAACTTAGGTTTAAGATCACTGTCACCGATGGGTCAAGAACACAGGTTGCTTGTCATTCCGGTAGTTTGCGGAATGAGGAGATTGACCCAGACTGGCCCACATACGGGGATATAGTCATCTGAATGAGATATAGTTTATCAGCGGTGACAAAATATATTGCACCACACGAGTTTACCGCATTGATTCTGATAGGAAATGAATGTGTCCCGATGAATGGTTTGGAAGATCCAAATCTTGAAGCTTGAAGAAAATTATTCGATCTGTGAATGCCTGTAATAGCGACGGCGAAGCCAGAACGTTGCGACTACAAAAGAGCACGGGGATCACGGACACTCGCTTGGCGGAAATTAATCCTAGCGGCCGATTATTCAATGACACACCCTATAACACTCCTAGACCGGCTTTGAGCTGATCTGCGAGATCGTCTGCTTCCTGGGTGTTGCTATCTGATTCCTTCCAAACCTTCTCTTCCGTAACACAGCGCTCACAGCGGCAAGGTCCGAATCCCCATTCTGATAATCTCCGGCGTCGATCTCTGAGACTGCTCTGGGGGTTGGTGTATGTAATGAGGAGCTCCTGTCCTATTTCAAAATCCTCCTTTGCGATCACTGTGATGCGCGAGAGCGCGGTGCGCTGGTCCAGGTGTCTTATCGAAACGTTGGGAGTGCAACTGTGGTTAAGGTGAGAGTGCAGCCTGTACAGTCCACCGTGGGCCTCCAGATCTACGAACCGATGTAAAACAGCGAACAAAAATACGATGGTTATGGAACAGCTTACTGAGACTCATGCGGCCCAAGCCACGTAAGAAGGCCTGATATTCGAAAGTAAATTTCTGTAGCTCTTCGGAAATTGACTTTTTCAAGACGCGTGCGAGTTTTTTCTGTTCTGCAGGTGTCCGAGGTTCTTTGAATGCTTGCAAATACAATTCAAAGGCTCTCCGCCAATTCTCGCGATCGGGCTCTAATCCCTGCTCGCTATTAGAGGGTCAGTAGCCATCCGCCATCGAAGTGTTGGGGTTCAACGGCTCACCGAAGACATTGAGCACGTTCTTCCATCCCAAGCTCAGCGAGGCCCTGGACTACTTCCCAGTCCAAGTCGAACGTTGCAGCATCCTGCTGAGAAGCCAGTAAAAGTCGGCTGGTGCACTGCGCGAGAGCATGCAGGGCCATCCACTGCGCATCTCTTGCGAAGGTAAGGAGTGGTACAGATGCGGGATTGCGTGCGGAACATAGGAGAGGGTGTACTTTTTCTGCTTGCAAACGACAGAGTCTATTGCAGTATCTGGCCGTGCAGGGAGTTGCGGTTGTAGAGGCCTCGCAGGATATATGCAACGGGGAATGATCGCGGATGATGGACGAGCAGAAGGAGCACGCCTCAGATAAGTGCTGGAGATCATAGATCTCCCTTTGCAGACATGAGCTCTTCCATTCGAGCAACGGAACGTGTAGGGGAGCTCACCATTCTGGGGCCAGGATGAAGGGGTCCTCTTTCCATAAAACATCCCCTTTGGCTATATTTTCTTTGGCAACGAGGCCCTTGCCCTTTATCGCGTCGAAGTACTTGACTTCTACCCTATTGGTCCACTTGTTGACATCAAGGCTTTTATTGAGGCGAAAAGATGGATGGATGATGTTGGTTGTACTGTTGGGCGTCCCAGGGTCCGAATTGATGAGCCCTTCACTCTGCAAGATCTTTCGGACGCGTTTTTCGCTGACCGTCCATGATGAATTTGCGTGAAGTAAGAGGCTGTGGATTTTGGCGACGCCAGAGGCAGGGTTGCCTTTTTTCAGTTCGATAATAGCTTTCCTGACTTCGTCTTCGATGGGGATGACGTTCCTGCTGGTGGATGACATGATCGTTGGGTTCGACGAGACGGTTTCAAATCATGATATGTTCTTTTGAGTCCTTGGTAATCAATTGCAAGAACGGACGAGAAACTCCTTGTCGAAAGCTCTACCAGCTGCTCCGGACCGAGTCTAACTATCTAGTACGTAAAACTTTGAAGTCAACTTGCAAAACCATAGCACTCAGGTTGTTACTACATCTCCTATGGATAGTAACAGTGCAATGCATGCCACTAAGCTACTGCAACGGGGGAAGTTCTAGCCAATTTTCATCGCAATTGAGAGCTAGCCGTCCATTGAGAGCGTGAACACGAGGTAAATATTGAAAGTCAGTAATTTGGATCCCCGGTTAGCACCGCACGCATCGATGTGACATCATCTTAACTCGACTTGGAGCGGCAACTGCCACTTAGCATCCTCAGAACCTTTAACGTTCGGAGATGACACATGCAATGTCCAATCGATCTCTTTCGTCGGAGTGAACTTAAATGTCTGGATGAGCATGCAAAGGACGATTTCTGACCAACTTGTTAGCCGGAATCTGATCAAGAACGAAACCTACGAACTCATCTCGAGTTCTGAAAACTTGAATCCGCTATGTATGTCCTCATCAGAGACCGACAGTCGTGGCACAACGTTTAAATCTCACATGCACGCTCTTCCACCACCAATGAATGTCATTCTGGAGGAGAAACGGATCACTGGGTATGAGCATTCTAGGACTGATATTCCCAAATACCACTCACAAGTGGGAGTAAACCCCTGGAATCTCGGCATCGATAACACTTTGTGGAAGCGGAGACAGCCATCTTTCCGGTTTCCACTGGAGCGCGTCGTCTCCCCAGATTTCAGGATCTCGGTTGGAGTTCAAGATTGACACAACAACATTCGTGTTCTTGGGCACAAGGACCTCGCGCATATATGTCCCATCATTCCCTTTGACGGGACGCGAGAAGGGGATGACTATATTGTCACCTGCACTAGAAAAAGCAAGGTTCGTTCGAACATATCCGGCGAAATTTGGGTGGGACATACGTGCGTGTGACGGTGGTAACTGGAGGATACCTACGCCCTTATGAGTATATACAAGTCAATAGAAAATGAACCCTTACAAGCGCAGTGT